GCCCAGGGACATAGTGCTCCTCCTCCAGTCTTTCTGGTCCTTACCTTCCATTACCTCTGTGTGTGTGTGTGTGTGTGTGTGTGTGTGTGTGTGTGTGAGAGAGAGAGAGAGAGAGAGAGAGAGAGAGAGAGAGAGAGAGAGACTGACTGAGCTATCTCCTCAGCCCTTAGGCTCCCTTCTTGCCTAGAATCTCCTATCCCTAACCAGGGTCTCCTTTGCCGACCTGGTGGTACAGTTGGGGCCGCTGTCTCCTTTAGCCTGTGTACAGTCGGGGCCGCTGTCTCCTTTAGCCTGTGTACAGTCAGGGTTGCTGTCTCCTTTAGCCTGTGGATGTTTGTTAGTCACTTTTCCCTCTTTGACAAAACTTCTGAGGAAAACAACTCGGAATGTGTACAGTCGGGGCCGCTGTCTCCTTTAGCCTGTGTACAGTCAGGGTTGCTGTCTCCTTTAGCCTGTGGATGTTTGTTAGTCACTTTTCCCTCTTTGACAAAACTTCTGAGGAAAACAACTCGGAAGGAAAGATTAATTTTGGCTCATAGTTTCGGAGGTTTCAGTGCATGGTCAGCTGGCTCCATTGTTTTTGGACCTATGGTAAGGCCGGCAGGAAGCAGAGCATCAAGAAGGGGCTGAGGATAAGGTACTGTCCTCAAGGGCACACCCCTATGCCTTATGTCTAATCAGGCACCACCTCCTAATTAATAGGCTGTTTACCTGTGAGCTTATCAGTGGATTCACCAATTGGTGAAATTCATTACCTCTCAGTAGTGACACCAGCTGGGGACCAAGCCTCAACACATGGGCCTTTTGGGAGGACGTGTCTCATCAAACCCCGACAGTGATGTAAGTCGAGCTTCCTCACCGCCCCCTTGCCTCCCTGCAAACACACGTGGTGGCTGCTCTACTTGCCAGCAATTGTGTTGTGTTGAGCGTGTTCTCCTTGCCTTCCTGGCAAAGATAGGGGAGGGGATAGAGCCTATCTTGAAGGCACAGAATAAAGCGGTAAGTACTTTGGAAAAGTGCTAGGAGCCCAGGTCTAGGTAGCTAGCTGGGGAGGGAGTGGGCGCGAGGGTAGGTGTGGGGATCTGCTGCTGGCTTGCACAGAAGTCTTGGCAGAGAAAGCTTGACTCCAGATAATCCCTCTTCTGTCTCCTGTTAAGTTTAGTCAGATGGTAGCTATTGCCACTGTGTGCTCCGGTGTCTGAGGACCTGGGGCTGAGCCAACTCACTGGGTCACAGAACCTGGGAAGGTGGGAGGGGACTGCTGGGGACACCAGGCAAGAGTGGCACCATGAGAACGGGTTCTTAAAGGTGTCCTGAGGATGCTACCAGACCCTTGGCAGGAAGATAGCACAGGGGCTACAGGGTCAGAGGGTTGGCATTGTCTTGCTTCTTCCTGCCTGTTCCTATGTGCTCACTGTGCCTGGCTGAGCACTGGCTCTGGTCATGTGATCAGCAGACTTTGCCTCCTGACCCAGCCACTGACCAAGTGTGCCAGGGCATAGGTCCCTAATACACATTGGCCTGAAAGATACTCTTCGTAGGCTCAGAGTACCTGTGTGTGGCACTGTTTTATGTGCAGTGTTGTGTTTGAGTTTTCAACCTGTTCCTCTTGAAATAGACCCAGAGTGCATTCTGTGACTGTCAGAAGCTGTGGTCTGTCACGTGAGGTCTTGGGCTGATGACAGCTACGCGGCTTTGGGTTTAGGCGCTCTGAAGTTCTGTCTGTATTTTCTTTGTGCAGACTCGGGCAGTATGATTTGTGGTGCACAAGTTTCTGGTCTTGTTGTCTTGGTGAACAGCAGTGCTTGTGCTAGCCTGCTGAGGAACATGTGTGAGAGCCAGGTGCCCAGATCCCCTCTAACCCATACCCATACCTGTTTGCTCTGTGCAGCTCTCAGATCCATTCCCGAGACCCTCTGCGTTGTTCTCCACAATGCAGGTGCCCGTGTCCGGCCTTCTCTTTCTGTGTTTGCTTCACCACCTGTGCCAGCTCCTTCCCCGGAGATGTAAGTCCTTGTCAGTCAGATGGAAGGAACCCTTCCAGTAACTCAGGTTCTGGGAGCCCCGTGTTAGTAAAGCCTGAGGCTTTACTTGGTTTAAATTGCTTAAGTCCTTCACAGATGGTGCAGTCTCAGATGGTAAAAGGGTTGGAGTCCCAGAGAGTTCAAAGTTGATTTCTTATAAATAGGATTTACCTTGGGCTATGAAACCATTTCTACAATGAGTTCCATTCTAACACAGCAGGAACACGGCTAGAAAACAGTGAAGCTTCTTTCTACCTCCTCCCACCCCCTTCTTGGACAGGACCATGCTGTGACACAGCCCAGGCTGGTCTCAAACTCACCATGAGGCTCCAGGCTGGCCTTGAACCTGCAGCTTTCCTCCTGCCTTAGCACCTGAATTCTGGACTTATAGGTATGCTGCACCACATGTGGTCATTTGTTTTCTTTTCTGAAAGTTTTTATGACTTTATTGTGACATTTAAAAAAAACTTACTGAAAAGTTGCAAGAAAAATATAATGCAAGGAACTCGTTCTTTATCCAGAGTTCCCAGCCAGTGTATTTTGCCTCATTTCTGTGCTCACATGCCTTTCCATGTATGTTCATGTTTCTGTGCTCACATGCCTTTCCATGTATGTTCATGTTTCTGTGCTCACATGCCTTTCCATGTATGTTCATGTTTCTGTGCTCACATGCCTTTCCATGTATGTTCATGTTTCTGTGCTCACATGCCTTTCCATGTATGTTCATGTTTCTGTGCTCACATGCCTTTCCATGTATGTTCATGTTTCTGTGCTCACATGCCTTTCCATGTATGTTCATGTTTCTGTGCTCACATGCCTTTGCCTTTCCATGTATGTTCATATTTCTGTGCTCACATGCCTTTCCGTGTATGTTTATGCTTCTGTGCTCACATGCCTTTCCATGTACGTGTTTCTGTGCTCACATGCCTTTCCATGTATGTTCATGTTTCTGTGCTCACATGCCTTTCCGTGTATGTTCATGTTTCTGTGCTCACATGCCTTTCCATGTACATGTTTCTGTGCTCACATGCCTTTCCATGTATGTTCATGTTTCTGTGCTCACATGCCTTTCCGTGTATGTTCATGTTTCTTTCTGGATCATTAGAGTAAAGCAGAGACGCCATGTTCTGTCTTTACCCTTGAACACACAGACACTTTGCTGGGAACACAGGTGAAATACATAATCACAGTGCCATTGTTGGGCAGGAAATTCAACATTAATCCAAAGCTGTTTTCAAAAAGTCTAGAATCAGCCGGGTGTGGTGGCGCCCGCCTTTAATCCCAGCACTCAGGAGGCAGAGGCAGGTGGATCTCTGTGAGTTCAAGGCCAGCCTGGTCTACATAGTGAGTTCCAGGACAGCTAGGGCTACAGGGAGACCCTGTCTCAAAAAGATCAAAAAAAAAAAAAAAGTCTAGAATCAACGTCCTAATTGCCCTTGAAGCCTTCATCTTTTCATGTCTAGGATGTGGTACAGGATCATGACCTGCATTGGTCAGATCTCTCTAGTCCCCTTTTCATCTGACCGCGGCCTTTGTCTCGCCTACATTCCATATTTGTAGAGTATTAACCCAGTGTTTATAGATTAGCCTCGGCTTGGGTGTCAGGTGATGCATTCCTGGTCACCCCTGGAATGGACATGGCAGCACGGTCTCACCTTTATCTCTGTCCCCACATGGGTGATGTCAGCTTTGAGCACTTGGCCAGTGTGATATACCCAGGTTTCTCCAGTATTAAGTGAATTGGTTTTGCCTTGGCAATTAATAATTTGTAGGAGATGCTTTCAAACTTCATAAAGATCATTTTCCTCATCCAACTTTTACCATCTGGTTTAGGAGCTTTGCTGGTTTCTGGGCTCCATTAGTATCTAGTGCATTACTAGGTGGCCTGCTAAGAGCATCCTCAGTTGATGCTTGTTTATCTCCCTCTCCAGGCTCATGGAATTCTGTTTTCTTCCCTGGTTATATCCATTTTCCTCATTATTTTGATGACTAAATCATTCTAGATTTATCCAGTGGGTACCTTTCCATGCTGGCTACTATTTCTGTTAGATGTGCCCCAGGTTCTTTGAATACTTCTTGCACAGCCAAGTACTACAGGCTCATCTCTGCTTTCTGGGGAGCCCTGGAAAGCTTTGTTTGAATGAATGCACCTATACAGCACATTTAAGAACATTTTATGTATACTGCTGGCTAGGATTCTTGTATTTTGGAGACTTTGTTCATGTGTTTTTGGGAAAGAAGACCTTGTGACCATCTCATGAGTGACTTTCTATGATCCTTGAAGATGTCATAGACTGACCTTGTAGATAATTTAAACTAGAAGTTAGGTACTAAAACAAATGTCTTCTAAAACACGAATTGTGTCCTTGAAACTTCAGTTTGCATAAGAACATTGCGGATCATAGACAGGGTCTCTCTATCATAGGAAGCTGAGAGTCAGAGAGGTTACTGCCCTGGCCCAGACTCAGGCAGCTGGGAAGTGGTGAGCCAGGCTTTCAGTTCACTTGGGCTCACTCTGCTGATGTATTTTTATTATTTAACATATTTTCTTATTCTAAATTACAGAATTTGTACACATGATGGTTCAACAGCAGCAGGTTTACTGTTTCTGGTCTCAGATCTTCTGTCCTACTGCATGGCTCTGTATCTATGTGAAAATCAAGTCTGAGGAGTTAAAATATGTGTATTACATATTGTCCTTCTTAAAGGAAAGGTTTTTTTTGTTGTGTTTTTTTTTTTTGTTGTCTGTTTTTTTTGAGACAGGTTCTCCCTGTAGCCCCAGCTGGCCTGGAACTCACTATGTAGACCAGGCTGGCCTTGAATTCACAGAGATCCGCCTGCCTCTGCCTCCCAAGTCCTGGGATTAAAGGAGTGCCCGGCTGGTTTAATTTGTTTAATTTGTTTTTATCAGAGTGGTTTGACCTAGTGTTTCTTTAAACCCCTGAAATTCCTAACCCCTTTATTTTCTTTCTATAGGAATTTGCTTGTTAGAAAACAAAATGCAAGACTTGACACACGAAGAGACTTGGGATGGAAGTTATTTGGCAAAGTCCCACTCCGAGAGAATGCCCAGAAAGATTCAAAGAAAATACGAAAGGTATACCAGCTTGAAACCAAACCTGTGCTAATGTGTTTGCAACATGTTTTTTTAACCGTGCATGAGTGATTGTTGCTGAGACTTGACATTGGGAAGCTCTTTGTATTGACTACATACCTAAGTCCTAGAACTTGGAAGTCTGTGTTCAGAATGTGGAACAGTGTAACTCTTTTAATGTCTTATAGTTTGTAACATGTACACAAGAACTTTTGCCTGGGGCTTAAATATTTATAACTTGATACATTTTAAGCAGTTTTTCCAATAACAGCTGTGGATGTGTTTATCATCAGACTTTTATGATGTTTATCCCAGGCCTAGTGTTAGATACTAAAACATTCACTACAGGTTTCTTGGTGGCTAAACCCTTCAGGCTGCTCTGGGATAGGCAGGCTAAGCCATTGTGCTCCCAGGCTCTGGGGGGACCCTTGCCCCTTACTTTGGTGTTGTCCTCTTAGGGGGTTGGGGTTTGGTGCCAGACCAGGCCTGCAACAGCATTCCACTCCCGCTTTGCTTCCTTTGTGCGAGTAGTTGCAGCAGCCAGAACACCTGTTTCTCCTCAGGGAGGGGCCCGAGCTGAACCCTGTGCTTGTGGCCTGGGAAACCCTGACTTTTAGCACCAGCAACTTCTCTGAGGCCCTGAACTTGTCTTGAAGGTCTACTGTGCCGTGACCTTGTCCCTAGCAGTCGAACTCCTTCCCACCTTAGATTTATAATACTCACGGGTATTTGTTCTGTGAACCCTCTTGAGAACCAGGGGATCCAGCAGCCTTTTCTGACCTCTACGGGCATTGCACAACACAGGTGCACTTACCTACATGCATACACCTAAAATAAAAATAATAAATAAAATTAAAAAAAACAAAACAAAACAGTGACCGAGCCTTATGAGGAAAGGGGCCATTTTCCTCAGCTTCCTGAAGAAGCCCTGAGGTGCAGAGGCTCAGTGACTTGAGCAGGTCACAACACCTAGGAAATAACATCCCAGGCAGTCAGGCGCAGAGGAGGCATGATGTGAGCCCTAGAACTGAGCCTGGGGAGCAGAGAGAAGATGGTCTGTGTGCTGCTGTCCCTCTGACTGGAAGGTTTTCCTCAGCTGAGTGTGATCAGCTCCCATGCTAGTATAAGTGAAAGGAAGAGGGATCTGGCCTGGCCGAGGTCATTGTGGACAGCCACGGACAGCCCGGTGGGTCCTGGCCAAATGAGCTGATGACCCTGGATATGGGGTGTACAAGGATGAGGAGGATTTCCACATGGTGCATTTTCATGCCTTTGCAAATAAATAAATAAAAATTCTTAGAATATTGTCTACAGTTCCCATGGTGATTGTGTGAACCCAGGAGCCTCACTAAGGATGTCAGTGTTGGAATTCGTCCTTGTAGATTGTTACATTTTGATTTTGAATCATTGTAGAGACTTATTAAATGAGCATACAATTAAAATAGGAGTTTGTATACAAAGCTCAGCTACAGATTTCTTGGGGTCTAGGTAGTTATGCTATTGTAAAATTATTAGAGAAATCTATAAGAAGAAATCAACAGTTACATTAAATAGATGTTCGTATAGCTCTTTACATGCTTCATGGTTTTTAGTGCTCTGGGGTCTTTGTGATGAACTGAAGTGCACGCACCAGGTGGTTGAGTGGTAAAGACACCGCCTAGAATACTTAGCTCCAGCCATCAGTGATGAAGGGTATCACTGACCTCTCTGCACCATCACACGATCCTTCTTGGGACTGTTGGCGTGTGCGTTGTGTCTCCTGCCCTCTCATCTCTCAGGTCTCATCCCAAGGTGGCAAAGCCTTCAAGGGACCTTGCTCTGTGCAGAGCCTTCTGGGTACCAGCTGGAGCTGGCTGCTGTCACTGCTCCCCTTTTACGGAGGCCAGAGTCTTGATTGTCTACTACACTACACAGGCACAAACTTTCTTTATGGAACTGTTTTCTTACTTGGGAGAAACAGCCGATGGTGTTTTAAGACCATGATCTTTGGGAGAAGTGACTCTAGCAAGCAGTTCTCTTACCTCCCACTCTGTGTGTGTGTGTGTGTGTGTGTGTGTGTGTATGGTGTGTCCTAATAAATGAATGTAAAAAAGAAGCTGGGCATGGTGGTGCACATCTTTAGTCCCAGCACTGACAAGGCAGAGGCAGGTGGATCTCTGTGAGTTTGAGACTACTCTGGTCTACACAGGGAGTTCCAGCCAGCTAGGACTACACAGTGAGACCTTGATACCGAAACAAAACAAAAAAGAGAAAAACAGAAAACCAAAGGGCTTGGAGTCAGACTGCCTGGGTTTTATCTCTGCTCTATCACAATTTGGCCGTGTTCTTTTAGGTAAGCAGCTAATTCATTCTGAGCCTCATTTTCCTCATCTCTACAATTTGGAGGAAATGCCTGTCTCTCAGGCCATAAGGATTAAATAAGGGGATACATATCCTGTGCTCAGAACAGTATTGAGTGTGGTAAGTGATGGAAAAGTATTCGCTGCCACTGTTTCTTAGCCCCGACTAGAATGCTCGCAGTGTGAGAATGAGCCTGAGCCGGCTCCAGACCTCACTCCTTTGTTCAGTAAGCACTGTTCGATGCTGGGTCTGGGTCTTGCGCTGGGCACTAGGGGCGTTGACAGCATTTGGGCCGATGCATCTCCAGAGCTTGCGGCAGAGCAAGGGAATGAGCATGCATACCAGCCAGGAGCTTGGAATCTTTCACTAGTGTGGCCTGGAGTCGTGTTTCCTCATGTGCAGAAAAGGCATTTTGGTACCTACTCATGGGGTTGCTGTAAATTAAGAGCTAGTGCATGTGATGTCTTTTGCCCAGAGTTAGTCAAGAAGTGGCTGTTTTGACTTCCAGTTAATGGGCTCACTTTGTCACGTAGGTGTTCTCTGTGCTTTGCCCACAGCACACCTGACCTCACTCTAACTGGGCCATGTTCACTTGGCCTGACTTGGCCTTACGGACTTCACTTTTTCCTTATGTGTTGAAATACTACTTTTCAGTTACCTTTTCAAATTTGATAAAAGCTTTGTGATTTATTTTTTATTGGTTAGGTGTATGAGTGTTTTGCTTGCGTGTATGTAAGTGCACTCATATCATGCAATGCCTGTGGACAACAGAAGAGGGCATTGAATCACCTGGAACTGGAATTATGGACAACCCGGTTGTTAGCCAGCATCCGGGTGCTGGGATTCAAACCCAGGTCCTCTGCAAGAGCAGCCAATGTTCTAAACCACTGAGCCATCCCTCCAACTCAAATTTGATAAAATTTTTGGCAATCAAGTCATGCTTTCCATCAGCCTGTGCTATGATTTCAGAGACTTTCTTAGCAGGGAAAACAAGGGTCATTATCGGTATCCTGGGACAAGAGGGTCCAACTAAACCATGGAGAACATGTCACCAGCAGAGCATGTCTTCATCACCTGGCGTTATGTGAGAAATGTAAGCTCTCAGGCCTCAGACCTCCAACACACTGAAGTGAACCTGGGGGCTGGGGCCCAGAGCTATGCGTTAACAACTCTACAGGAAATCCCAGTGATGCTCAATTCAAGAACCATTGCTGTTGAATGGGAAAGTTGGCTCTTGGGAGAAAAGTAGTCACCTTCACTGCAGCCAGCCCCACAAAGGGCCAGAGTGCACCAGTGCACAAGTAGTGGTCACTGCTAGTGAGCTAGAAAATAAAGGTGGGGAGAAAGGTCTTGAAGATTGCTGCCTCAGGTCTCCACCTGCTGGCTGTGAATGCACCAGTGCCCTGGCCTGTTGGCAGGGGTGGTGATACTGTCTTGGAAGTATAGTCCTATGCCTTATGAATAAAAGTGTGAGGTGGGTTCTGCTTTCTGTGTACACTATTTACACAGGTTTGAGGAATTAGCATTACTGTCAGGAAATAAGGTTGGGAAGAAAGTTCTAAGTGCTGGTTTATTGCTGAGGCAGCTGCTGATTGTGGCATCGATGGTTACAGGAAAGGACAGGCCTACAGATTCAGTGTTAAGTTTGTGTACCCAGGACCATCTTGGATGGTCTCCTGGAATCAAATCAGCTCCTAGCTGTTAGTCCCAGAAGGTGGTAAATCCGGGTAGCTGAGAATTCATTCTTCTGCTCTCTGGATTCTGAGAGCTTCAGCGCACAGAAGATCACAGATTGCAGAAAGGATCAGTCTGGGTGGTCAGTGGAGTTAAAACAAGGAAACAACCTTCACTTCCATCAGTACCCTGTGCCTTTGGAAAATGGGTTTGAATGAGCAGAGGTTAGCAAGGTAGCTCTCAGTGGCCAGATGCACTTGCCACCAAGCCTGTGGCCCGAGTTCCTTCCCTGGGATCCTACATGGTGGAAGGACAGAACTGACTCCTGCAACTTGACCTCTGATTTCCACTGTGGACTGTGGCATGGCAAGCCCAATTTTAAAAAGAGAAGGAAATAGAACCAAGCGTGAGTTCTAGGTATGGGAGGGGGGTGCTGAGTATATGCCGACTCATCTTGCCCAGTGAGTGGAGCTTGAACAGAAAGCACTATTCATAGGAGCAGCTATTTGATGGTGTTCGAGAGGAAATGGTAGCAGGTGGACTGTGCCTGAAGACCACAATTCAAAGTGCTGTTGAACTGAAACAGTTTATGGGTTGTTTTCCCTTTCTGCATTTTCCAGCCTGAACCCAGACAGCCCCAACCCAGAGAGGAATGTAACATATCAGAGAGCACCAGGGGGTCTCTGTGGCTGGTTAGGAGTAGGTCTAACTTAGAGAAAGGCAGAGACCTTCCTTTTCATTTCCCTCTGTTCTCTGCACTCAGCCCTCAGACAGTCTCATGGGGCAGTCACAGGCTGGCAGGAGCGAAGGGGAAAAGGTGGTTGTACCTCTGATTTATTCTCCTGTCACCACCTGGTTCTGACAAGGACACTGTTCTGGGAAGTGTGTGGCTGGATAACCACAACAAGGAGACCCAGGGGACCTGAAAACACCTGAAGATTGCAGAGAGATATGCAGGAGCCTGACCTTTGACTTGTTTAGAACAGCTC